TTATTTTAAGTAGCAACTGAGATAACAAAAATGATAAAAAAAGGAAAAAAAGTACCATTGTCTCTATGTGAGGGTACCTCTATGTTACACTAACACTGACACAGGACATTGGATATGACACGATACGACAGTCCGACACGTTAATTCTAAAAAATGTTAGATTGTGACACGTTAGGACACTTTTTGATATTAAATAATATGTTTAACAAGGTAGGTTATAGTTACAACCTTTTTTTTTTACAACCTCTTACAACCATATCTTAACACCGTTGATTTCCGCCAATCAACGGTTATGATTTTCGTAAATTAAATTCATTAATTAATTATTAATTCACAATAAATGAAACCGTTGATTGGCGAAAATCAACGGTGTTAAGATATGGTTGTAAGAGGTTGTAAAAAAAAAGGTTATAACTATAACCTTCCTCGTTTTTAATTTATGCAATGTATATTATATTTAGGGATTGTCTTTTCTCATGTTGCATAGGAGAAAAACTATCTCCTACACACACATAGAGAAGAGAGAGGAGAGAGAATAAGAAAGAGAAAAAAAATTAAAATGGGTCCCACGTTTACTTTGTGTCTTATGCATAAGATAACAATCTTATGTAACATAAGATTATTATTTTCCTTATATTTAATATTCAATAATTTTTTAAAAAATAAGACTAAACTTATAATACTCATCAATTTTGCAAAGAAACATAAAATATCACAAATATTTATATTAAACTCAATAAATTGGTAATCTTAATCAAACAAATCTAATAGTTGAAATTAAAAACGTAACACAATGCAACGTAATCTTTGAACCTTTTTTTAAGTCTTTGCAACACATGTTGAAATGTCAGAAAATATCGAAATGTCAAAAAATATCGGACATAATACATCAAGTGTTTTAAAGTGTCGATGCTTCGCAGATACCTTGTAGGCATTGCAGTTTTGGATTTTCATTGGATCCATTGGGTACTATGAATGTAGGTTGTGCCTAGACGTGACCTCCCCGATTGGATGGCTGCTGAGGTGCTGATGCCTTGCAATTGTTTATTCTGAGTTTGTATATAAAACCATCGAACCTTTAAGCTGTAAAGGTTATTTCATTGAGAGGTAACAGTGTAACACTTTTTGGTTTGGATTTGACCGTAATTAGTTTGGACTTTTATTATTGGTTTAGAGAAATTAGGAATTTCTTTTTTAATTTTTATAAAATTATGAAAGAAAAAGTATATTACATTTATTTTTTAAAGGATAAAATCGTAAATCTTTATTTATTTTATTTTAACTAATTATTTCTCCACTTTATAAATTTCTAACAAAATATTAGTCTTATGTTTTATTTTTATTTTTCATTTTCTTATTATTCCTTTCATTTTCTTTCTATCGATCACATTATTTACATCCAAAGGAAAGAAAAAATTTCTTTCTTATTTTTTTTTTAAATAGGAAAACACAACGCAGAGTCCAACGGTTGTTGGCCATGCTCATGTGTGTCCGCGAAGGAGAGTTACTAAGTAGTGAGTATTACTCTTATTCAAAATGAGACACTTGTATTATAGATAAATTATAGATTATTTATTTCGGGAATATATGAACAAGGTATTTGATTTTCTTTTTCTTTCTCGGGGAACATGTTAGCAGAGTATCATGTTTTTATTGGATGGATATAGTTGCGACGAGAGTATTTAAAATATTTTTACCCGAAAAACTATCTATCTATCATAAGAATATTAAAATAGTAAATATTCAATGAATAAATTAAAACAGTGAAGATTAATTAATAATCTATTCTAAACCAAAACTCAGTTGATTTCATTTTTCTCTTCTTTTAATTTTTTTTTAGCATTTTGTCCCCTTTCTCAAACTATATACTAATCTACTCGTGTTTTGACCAGTTGGCTAATACTTAATCGAGTAAGTCCGTTAGTCGAGTAAGTAACCCACTTAATGGAGTCAGTATTAAGTATAGACTATGTCAAATTATATATTCTTTATATATGGTCACTCCATTGAGCCTCTTCCGTTATCGTAACATATTTAATGTATTTTGTGATACTAATGTGTACTTTTTAACAAGTTCAATATGTTTTACATAATCTTCTGCCTATTGAAATAATGAGTCACTATTTATTGTTATTATTGGATAGGAAATAAGAATAGGAATTAAGTAACATCATTCATAGAAATAAAATGTGTTAAACAACCATAAATATTCAAAAGCAAAACCACATGAAATTCCTTTGTCATTCTCAAAATGGAAGCATTTTTTTCAAATTTTTTTTTACCAAATCCCATCCAAGACATAAGCCATTTTTTTAACAAAAAGTTCAAGTTGGGATAGACACGGTATCCCATTACGGTCAGAGAAGACCTCCAACCTCTTTTAGGATTTTTGGAAGGGATTACAATCACCCACTAACAAAGTTCTCACATCGACCAGCAAGGTTTGAACCCATGCCCTTGTACGGTATGAACCAAACCCTTAATCAATTGTGTTCACCTTTGTTGGCTAAAAAAAGAAGAAGCCATTTTAGGGTATAAAGAGTTTGGATAAAGATTGTCCGCAATTGTTTTGAACTCACAAACATACATATAAAGTCCAAATATGTGTGCATGATATAATAAGCATGTATTAATAAAAAATGAACCACCTTTAACAAGTCATATTGAAAATCAACAGAAAATTATATTTTGACACCTTGCATTGAATGAGAATCCTAAATAGTAAAGGACCAAACACCTATTCCAATTTCATTTATACATGTACAAGATATTAAAACTTGCTTTAAATAAAAAATGGTCGTGGATCCATATTTGAATTGTCTACTTCGTTAGTTTACTCGAATAATTGGCCAAATATTCGAGTAAGTGTGGGTCAAACGAGGATATATTAATATGAGATAGGTTATTTACCTATCATTTTTCTGCCTACTTTTACCTTCCACTCTCCAACATTATTAGATCAGAATTTTAATAGGAGAGAGAAATGATCAATGTAGTTAATATTCTGATTTAAGGGTGTTAGAGAGTGGTAGACAAGGTACGCAGAAAAAATAGAAGGTAGAAAGTAGAATAACCTATCCCTATTAATATATAATTTTAATATGAAGCTATGTGTTGAGCACAAAGCGAATTTTCTTTCGCCTTTTACTAAATATATATATATATATATATATATATATATATATATATATATATATATAATTTTAATAAAAGATTAAAATTAGTATATAATTTTAAAGGGGAGACAAAATAGTAAACTTTTTTAAATACATGGGACAATCATCAAAACCCTGTTTATGAGTGTAAATAGGTTGGACTGAGCTAGATTTTGGCTAAAATAGGACAGACTTGTGTAAAATACTTTAAAGTTTTAGCCTTGTATAGGTCCAAGTTATAAGTATGACTTGACTTATATTTAAAAAGCAAAAAGCCTTAGCCTAGACCTGGTAGCTTGTTTAAGCCTATGACATTCAATAATAAAATCAAAATAGTATTACTTTATTATTCAAAATTATTAAAATAATAATTTATTTATTTTATTTAAAATAAATAATATAATATATGCCGATCTATAAGCTAATAAGACGACATATAAAAGAAAGTCTTTGACTTGTTTTTTTGAGACAACGACCATTTTGCCACCTTTTTGGCAAAAATTTATCGGATTACCACGTCAGGAAATTTTTTTGCCAAAATGTCACGTCACCAAACTCGCTACATTGTGCAGTGAGATTACGTGGCACCATGTCAGCAACTTTAAGGCAACGTAATCTTGCTGCACTGTGTAACGAGGTTACGTAGCAGAGCCTAATTCGCTGGATTGTGTGGCGTTTTATCTGGCGCCAGTAACAATTTGACACATGGATTAAGAGGACGAATAAATACTGATTTATTTTTAATTTTCTTTTTAAAAAATATTATAAACAATAAAGATGATGGAGTGTCCATGAAAAAACGATAAAGACGAATTAATGTCCAATAAATGCTGATTTGTTTTTTTTTTCTTTTTGGAAAATATAATACACAATAAAAACGATGGAGTGCCCCATGAAAAACGATAAAGAAGATTTAATGTCCAATAAATGCTAATTTGTTTTTTGTTTTCCTTTTGAAAAATATAATACACAATAAAGACGATGGAGTGCCCAAATGAAGTATTCATAGGAAAATGATAAAAACGATTTAATATCCAATAAATACTGATTTGTTTTGTTTTCTTTTTGGATAATATAATACACAATAAAGACAGTGGAGTGTCAAATGGAGTATCCATGCAAAAATGATAAAGACGATTTAATATCCAATAAATGCTGATTTTTTTATTGGTCCTCTCAATTCACATGTCAAATTGTTACCACATAAAACGCTGCACAATACAGTGAATTAGGCCCTACCATGTAATCTCGCTACACAGTGCAGTGAGATTACGTGGCCTTAAACTTGCTGATATAGTGCCACGTAATCTAATGCAGCGAGTTTAGTGACGTGGTATTTTGACAAATTTTTTTTGTAGCATGGCAATCCGATAATTTTTTGCCAAAAAGGTCACTATCCTGTTTTTTTTATAGATATTTCAATAAGTTCATTGCTTCGTTACTAATCCGATTCAGAACAAGTCTTAAAATTAAGGTTTTAATCTCCTTCTAAAAGATAATATATAAAAGAAAACTTGTATGACTTTCTTTCTAAATAAATTTTTTTTTCTTTGAAACCTGAGCCTGTTGGACCGAGTTCGGCTTGATATAAGCTGAGCGGCACTGCTAGGTCCGCTGACCAACTTACACCCTTACCCATCCAAAAGTTGTCCCACACCACCTATTTAGTCATGGGAAATAATACTCTTATGTTACATAAGAGTACATCATTTTCCTACACTAATTCGTTTTCCGTGCCAACTAATTTTTCTTTTCTTTTTTAATATAAAATATGGGACCCACATTTAACTTCTCTCTATTTTTTTATCTCCTACAATCCTACAACATAAGAAAACTTAAACCTTTAGTTATTGTAAAATCAGAAACGTTTATACTCGAAGAAGTACTGTCCAGTGAAGCGAAAACCCTAGCACAAGAGAGAGAGAGAGACTCTCGTTCATCAAACACGCATAGGGGGGGTAGGTACAGTACAGGTTTTGTGGGGGTTCAATCCTTACCATTCCGTTTATTTGTTTAATTGGGTGCTTCTCTTTTCTCCCAGATTTTCTGTCTAATAACATGTTGGATCTTTTGCTCGCTCGCATTTTTTAAAGCAAAGTTTCAATCTTTGATTTGATTTGTTTCTGGGTGATGATAGTAGTGCAAGGATGTGCATCTGGGGGTGTTTGACTTGACTTTTGTATTTAACTTGCTGGTCAATTTTTGCTATTTGACTTGAATCTGCTGTGATTTCACAAGAAACTGGGCTCCTTTTTTATTTTTTATTTTATTTTTAGTGTTGAGAGTGAGAATACTGAATACTAAAGATGGATCTGACAATACTAAAAGAAATTGAGAAGGAAAGAGAGGAAAAAAAAAACTTTGATTGATTGAGATGGAGTTCTTGATTTTCAAGTTTTAATACTATTATTCATCAAATTCCTTTACTTGCGGTTTATTGGTTTTTTCTATCTTAAGTCTAAACATGCATTTTGTAGCAGATATACATAATATTCCTTCATAATTGTATTCATTCTGTCTCAATTATTAGTAAATGTTCTAAAATATTTGTGATTTTGAAATTGTATGTATGTGATTGTTAAGTGGTTGTCAACTGCCATTTGCTAAACTTGCTTCCACTCATATATGCGGTTACCTTTGTAGGTTATTCTTCCTGTTATAACAAACAATGGCTGATGGTCATGAATCAGATAAGAACATTGAGATATGGAAGATCAAGAAATTGATCAAAGCACTAGAATCTGCAAGAGGTAATGGTACCAGCATGATTTCTCTGATAATGCCTCCGCGCGATCAAATATCTCGTGTCACTAAGATGTTGGGAGATGAATTTGGAACTGCTTCAAATATCAAAAGCAGGGTGAATAGGCAGTCAGTGTTGGGAGCCATTACTTCTGCTCAACAGAGATTGAAACTATATAACAAGGTTCCTCCAAATGGCTTGGTTCTTTATACTGGCACCATTGTCACTGAAGATGGAAAGGAAAAGAAGGTGACAATTGATTTTGAACCATTCAAGCCTATAAATGCATCACTTTACCTCTGTGATAACAAGTTTCACACAGAAGCTCTAAATGAACTTTTAGAATCTGATGATAAGTTTGGTTTTATTATCATGGATGGAAATGGCACCCTTTTTGGGACCTTAAGTGGAAATACTCGTGAGGTGCTTCATAAATTCACTGTTGATCTGCCAAAGAAACATGGTAGAGGAGGGCAGTCAGCTTTGCGTTTTGCTCGTCTTCGCATGGAAAAACGACACAATTATGTTAGGAAGACAGCAGAACTTGCTACTCAGTTTTACATCAATCCTGCTACTAGTCAGCCTAATGTTGCTGGACTTATACTTGCTGGTTCAGCTGATTTCAAAACTGAGCTGAGCCAGTCTGATATGTTTGATCCGCGTTTGCAAGCAAAAATATTGAATGTGGTTGATGTTTCTTATGGTGGGGAAAATGGCTTTAATCAAGCAATTGAGTTATCTGCAGAGATTTTATCTAATGTGAAGTTCATACAAGAGAAACGCTTGATTGGAAAATATTTTGAAGAGATCAGCCAGGATACTGGGAAATATGTCTTTGGGGTTGATGATACATTGAAGGCTCTAGAGATGGGTGCTGTGGAAACACTTATTGTATGGGAAAGTTTGGATATTAATAGGTATGTACTGAAAAATAGTACTAATGGCGAGATTGTCATAAAACACTTGAACAAGGACCAAGAGTCTGATCAAAGCAACTTCCGAGATTCAGCTACCTCTGCAGAGTTGGAGGTTCAGGAGAAGCTGCCCTTGCTTGAGTGGTTTGCCAATGAGTACAAAAGATTTGGATGCTCATTGGAATTTGTGACCAACAAATCTCAAGAAGGATCACAATTTTGCAGAGGTTTTGGAGGTATTGGGGGTATCCTTCGCTACCAGCTTGATATCAGATCATTGGATGAGTTGTCTGATGATGGAGAAGTGTATGAGGATTCTGATTAAGCTTCTGTGATTGTAGAGCTTTTCATTGTTTTCTTTTGGATAATTGGATGAAACCACTGTCACCCCTATGTCAAAAATTCTAGACATTACTTTGATTTCATGGTTCTAAGATTTGGTCCTTTGTATTTTTATGTATTATGTTTTTTCTGTTCCATTGCTTACTAAATTTTCTTTTTTGGTTATTTAATGTAAGCCTATGGCAACTCTACCAAATTTTTGGGTGACACCTCAAATATACGAGTGCTTCAATGTCTTATAATATCTTAAGGGCCGTGGCATCTCGGTTTTATATAGTTATTGGTTATATAATGTGGTTGCAATCCTGATTGTATTAGTGTAATTTTTTATCTCCTTCACTTTAATGTGGCACAGTATGTGATACTTTGTTTTTGGGTGAAGAATCAAAGTTACAATATTTATGGCGTGCTTGCACCTAAACGGGGATTAGTCCCACGTTGAAAATGTGTAGAGCTACCCAGTAGTTTTACCAAAGGAAAAAAAAGGACACTTGGCATGTGACATCTCGGTCCTACCTAAAAGTTGCTGAGAGTGTCAAGCTCGAGGATAGTAAACGCAAATTATTGTATTTCACCTTGAATACCTGATGTTCATTAAAACTGTTATTCCTGTTTTTGACTGATATAGGGATTAAAGTTTCTTAATCTTGACCTGTTTGTTTGCAATTAGGTTAAGAAAATAGTGATTGACTGCTACATACTGACCCTGATTTGGTCTGATTGGAATATCTATGTAATTGCTTCTGCTTGTGATTGGAAATTGGTCCATTTCTCTGAACTTGAGTGGTATTGAGAGAAACCTGTTTGTTTTGCTGCGAATAAAATTCTGTAAGTGTGTTGAAACTGATATTGCATGAAAGCAACAAAATTAATGACCTTGCTTTGACATTTTGCTCCGGTCACAGACCTAAACAGAAGCATGTAAAGGTATGTGAACTTGTTGCATTTTGGATGTTCAACTGACTTCGGTTGGTGGTTAAGATTTTAGCCTGGCTTCGCAAAGATTGGGAAGTCAATTTTCAATTTGTTTCCCACAAATGCAACAGATGTGCTCACTGGCTTGCTGGAATAGGAAGAAGATCAAAGGCTAAGGAACAAGTTTATAGACTTGTCCCTCCAGGATTGTAGGAAATTTACGAAGCTGATTTAGCTAGAGTTTCAAGCTTTAGTTTTAATATCCCTTTTTAGCTTTGTTTGTTGTGTTATGGGCTAGGCCCTCTTTAACTACCAAAAAATAAAATAAAATAAAATAAAAATAAATTACACTTAATAAGACTTGTATTTAAGGACAGTAATTTTTTTTACTCTTGATTTCTTCTAATCTGTTATACAACACTATTTACTGTGTCATTATCATAAATTGTTGCTCATTTGCCTAGCATGAAGTAAATATTCTGCTTTGGTGTGAAACAAAAGCCATCTAGTAAATTTAATTTTAGTTACTCAAGCAACAGGATAGTGTGCAGCTTGGATTGTGTCCTTTTATCTAAATTATTTTGCTCTTTTGTTGTATATATTCTGTCCACTTTTCTGGCTAGACTGTTTTAGAAATTAGAATGGGAGTGATTAACTAATCTTCATTTTCTTGGTTGCTAATATAGCTTTGTGTTATCTTTGTACTGCTTGCTATATCGGATCAATTGGAAATTCTTTTTTTTTTTGTTTTTTTTTTTGCATATATCCTTGATTTTCATCTCAACCATATAATTTGATGGGTTAAGATCTCACTTCAAACTTCTAGTGATACATAATTTTCATTATATATGCCAACCTCATGGATAGGGAATAACAAGTAATATGGGTCTCATTTCAGGCTAGTGATTATTGCTTTGCTTATGTAGCTTTTTGTTTTAAAATGTCATATCTTTTATCTGTTTTATTCCTTTAGCCTGAATTTGTCTCAATCCGAGTAATACTAATACCAAGTTAATTGAAAATTTCCGTGTTGACCAAAGATTTGACTTTGAATGGTGTGCATTATCATTGCCTGCACAACTTATCTGGTATAGTGTTGGTAACTTGATACATTCTCTGCTTTGATTCTAAAGTGAGCAATAATTTGGGTTGAGATTGAATTGTGAAAATACTAATTTTACTGATTCATTTTGTTGGTTATTGCTGCAACCTGAAATCTGTTAAATCTTGGTGTTCTTAATACGTTTGACATTTGACGGCATAGGAATGATTAAATTTTAAGTGAGCTATTTGAACTATTGAGTAAAACAATAAATAAATAAATAAATTTAAAATCACACACACACACACACACTAAAACTGCACTGGTGGAAGTTTAACACCTGTTTGTAGTCTATTTAGAGTTGTACTTTGGCTATACATAAACTTGTGATGAAAACTTGACAGCCTAAAATCTTGGTTATCTTTATTAGGCTATACATACAAATAAGACTTCTGAGTTTTGAGTATCATTACTTTTGTTAATAAGCGACGTGATTTGTAGGTAAGAATTTGATATAATATAAAAATTGATATAAGCTTGAAATCATTTATTTGGAATTTTAAATTTGGAGCTGGTCTACTATTGTAACTTTTTGGTCCGTTTGAGCATTGAATTCCAGGCTACTATTAATATGTTTCTTGTACGTAATGCTGAACTTAATTGAAATTTTGACTAAAGCTTGAGTCAAATTAAGGTAATTCTGTGAGCTGATCTAATATAAAATAAAATAAAAATAAAAATAAATAAATAGTTCAAGTTCCATTCGCATTAAATTCGTTTTGCATTTTATATGTCAACAAGTAAGAGTAATTATTATTATTTATTTTTTTATAACAAGAGTAATTATTTTTAATTCTGCTGTGAAAAGTGATTAATAAGTTGGTTTGACATCTACTCATTTTCACATTTCGCAAGTGTACATAAGTTTGATAAAAGAGTAAATATCTTTTTCGGTCCTTAATAAAAAATACAGTATATTAAAGTGGGAGTAATGACGATCGAACTCATGATTTTATGGTCGTTGAAGTTCTGATATTATGTAAAAAATCAATTCAACCCAAAAACTTAAATGATCGTGTAATGATTTTTTTTTAATAATTTATATTATTTTTTAACACTCTCTTCCACACTGGAAACTTATTTGGTGGGTTGAATTGAAGCCTCGTTTTTTATACTGTACTTGAACTATGACACTGCTATATGTGAAAGTCGTCACCAAATTGCTTCTTAATATCAAGCATTGGATATAGTATATCAATTGAATTTGTTTGATAGTTATAACTCTAAAGGCGTTGTTTGCGAAGTACTAGATTTGACCACTGATTAAGGGTACTGGTTATTTTGTTAGTGTGGATATTCTTCCCTGATTTCTTTTAAATTACTCGAATACGTTGTCTCGAGCTATAATTTTGTAATTAAAAGCACATTCCTATAAGTCACTACTTTGAGCTATTTTCTTCTATTAGTTGTGTATCGGTTACTGTTAGCACTGGATGTGAATCATATATCTAAGCCGAATTAAGTTACTGTGTTATTAGCATGGAAAATCTGCCAATTGATTGAAGAATACAAATTAAGTTGTAAGGGTTGTTCTTGTAGAGGCCTCAAGGACATGCGATTATATCTGATTTTGTCTGATTTGTAAAGTGTATAATAATATATGTTCATCATATATGAGGAACAACTTTCAAAGGGGATTAAAGCACAGCCTTAGGGGCGGATAATTGAGGTTGCAGTTGTCTTGAAGAGACCAACCTAGTAAGTCTAGTAAATTCTTTTCCTTACTTGCATTTTCGGTTATTGAGGTGAAATTAGAGGTCTCTTGAGTTTAACCAAATGCATGTAAGGGTATTACCATGTTTAGTTTTAGGGTTCGTTTTTTGTCATGTCACCTGACAAGACTATTTTTATGCACACACAAATTAAGTGTGGGTCCCACGCTTAAAAAAAAAAAGTCAAACCAAAATCAGGATATGGCGCCGTATCCTCAAGATACGTTGTCGAATCCTTGTTGCAGGAATGAACAATGCCATTCCTGCAACATGATTCTTATATTTCCCTTAGTTTTAATCGAAAAACTTGTTATGAATTGGTTTTCGGTGTTGAAGAAAGTCTATTGAAAGGTAAATGGGTGTTTCAAAAGCTGGATTTTTGTTGCTAAATTGTTGCCTTGGCCGAACCATGTAGGAGGCTGTTAGAGTAATCAGATGGTACATGCATGGCAGATGTTTGTTAATATTACACTATAGAATCGAGAATGGGAAGTTCTGAACTTCACCCTTAAACTTGGTTAAAATCGTATTTGAACTTCCATTAGTTAAATGCGTAGAAATGCTGAATTAGGTAGCTTGTAGTGTCCTAGTAATTTAGGACTAACTTGAAATGTACGAGACATTGTTATCCTCACCGCCCCTGCTAGCCTCAATAATCGCAACTCGCTTCACTGAAGATCTGCTCCCCCGGAGGATCATTGCAGCACACAAACAAACACAACAATCAGCAAATGTTGGTAATCCCAATCCAAAACACAATAAAGATAATCATAACTTGAATACTCACCATAATCAAAATATGTCATTTCCATGATTAATCTTATTTAATCTCATTTAGTGAGAAAAGAATCATGGTAGACCCGAAAAATCTTGTTGCCAGTCTACCCACATGATCTGGGAAACCCTATTGCCAAGCACGTATAATCAAATTTGGCCATCATCAAAACATAAAATCCTAGTGTGTACACCTCTCCTCAAAGTTGCTACTAGTACCCCGGGAAACCTTATCGCCAGGTACCACTTTGAGAAGAACGGATAATATAATTGTAACATCATATAATATCAAAGGCATAAAGCCCAAAGGTTGTGTTCATCACTTTCAGGAGATACCATCCCAAAAGCTATATTCCCACTATATTATCACAATCACACACAATTAGGTAAATTTAATCTTGTAACAAACCACATATTTGGAAAATTTCCTCAAAGCATATGAGTTACTAAAGGGTATCATAATTTCCATATCAATTATCCAAGAGTATCATAATTTTCATATCAAATACCAAACATTTATCGAAGGTAAGATCCATATCACACATAATCCATTATCCAATTATCTTATCAAGAAAAAAAATTCATATATGATAACTCTCTTGTGGAGACTTGTTTTTAGGCTTATATTTGATGATTTGGTGCCATATAAATGCACAATTCCCTTAGAATTACTTGATTATTACATGGATCTGGTCTCTTTATGTTTTGAATGAAAAATATGCTAAGTGTTGATATTTGGTGCTATTTCGAGTGCTAGAGCAATTCACTGTCTCTATTGTTTTGTTGCAGGGTAGAGCTGTAGCATGGAAAAGAAGAGCTGTAGCACTCGAGCTTAAGTAAGACAGTGCATTGATGATATCAGCAGCAACTAGCTGTTGGGGTCCAAGTCCAAACAGGGAAAAAGAGTTCCTTAGCACCCAAGTTACCATCCTTTGTACAAAAATTCAGAATAATCACGTATCTTGGCAAATATGAATCCCCGACAAATCAGAATTAAATCTTCAAGCAAATCAAGATCAGAATGGAAGGTTATTTTGGAAAGATTTGAAGAGATACTTAGTGCCCAAGTCACCATGCCCAGTTTTAAAATCCATATCTTCAGCAAATCAGAGCAAAATCTCTAACCAAATCAAGATCAGATTACAACATTATATTTGAGGGATTTGAAAAGCTGCTTGGAGCCAAGTCATCAAAGTCTATATAAGAAAGAAGCCTACACACATTAGAAAGGCTTGGAGCAGAATTTTAGAGAGCTTTGGAAGAGATTTCAAGCTGCAAAACACTTAGAGACAGTTTGAGGATTTGTTGAGAGAGATCCAACGGATCAAAGGGAGGAGCTAGGGTTCAGGAGAGAGATCAGTGAATTCGGTGAATCCTTGCACTACTCTGACAGTTGAGAGACGGTGGATGGTGGCGGAGCCAACGGTTGCTGCAAGAGCAGAACTACAACAACGTCCCTGCTTATTCTATCTTAGTTCTATGGAGTCTTATTCTTTCTTTGTTGTTTCTTTCTATTCAAGTACGAGCAAAATTGTTAAGATTGGGTGATAGAGACCCGTATTGTGATGTAATCAGTTTGCCTAAACTTTACTATGTGATTTTTCCTTTAGTTGTTTAATAAAGTACTTAAATTGTCTTTAATCTTGTTGGCTTATCGAAAGAGAGCTGCAAAAGATCTAGGATTTGTCCTAATTCGATTTCCTACCCCCTACTAACTCACTCAGACTAGTTTAATTATGGATTTATGGTAAAAGAAAAAAAAATGCAGGGTTGGAACTCCTTAATAGAAACAATGACTATTAAGAAAAGAGATATGAATGATTTATTTATCACATAACTGAGCATTAAGCATCCCCAGAAACAAATGACTACAGAAGTTTAAGGGAAAATTTATCCTCTCATTTCTCACTTTGACTATTAGTACAGCAAAGCCTCTAATTGGCCTGCATTTCGGATAATATACCTTTGATATTACAAAGTATGGTGCTTCAGGAATCAGTAAGTTCTATAAGTTGATTGACCACACTTGGATCTGCAAGAGTACTTGTATCTCCAAGTTCATTTAGCTGCCTGGAAGCAATTTTTCTCAGAATTCTTCTCATTATCTTTCCACTCTTTGTTTTTGGAAGGCCAGGCGCCCAATGGATTTTGTCAGGTGCTGCAAAGGCTCCTATCTGAAATGTTAAACAACATAATGTGAAAATTAAGTTACAAATGAAGCCATGCAAATTGATCCGTAATAAATGATCAATCAGGTCATCCCATGTCAGCCTGATTAAGTATAAAATGTGTTTCCTTAGCTATGTATCAAAGAAAAAATATAATTAACATCAGTGTATTACTGAAAAATAATTTCCTCCACATAGATCTACATGATGATGATGATTGGTGGTGATAAATTGTAATGTAGAACCTGTTAGCTCAAGCACCGACTTAAAGTATTTTCTAAGGTACAATTGGATCCACATATTATGTACAAAGGGAACCAACAATAAAAATTAAGATTTCAGGGCATCTTTTCAGTTAGTCTCTATAAAATATCAAATTCATAAGAATATCTTAAACAACTAGGAACGCTAGGGGTTCAATCGGGCCAAAACCTGGTCAATCCAGGATGCAACCACAACACCAGAAATGAGGAAGAAAATATGATCCTTTTTTCTAGGACAATAAAGTGTAAAGGAAACAAAGAACAACGGCTCAAACAAGTAGTTATCTTGAGAATTTATCAAGGCACGGCAGTGCCATGTTCTCAGCTTTAAAGTACCATTGCCAGGAAAATTTCGCAAAAAATTCATTTTCTTCTTTCATTCCTTTCAACGAGTAATAAATCCAGACATAATTTAAAGGAAATTTCCTTAGAACCCTTAACCATCCAGGCTATTATTGACAGACCATGGTGTCAAGATTGAGTATACCATATAATTTAATATATGCTTTTGGAAAATGTATTAATATACGAGAAAATATAGTGGATTGAGTACCGACCTGCTTTCGAACTGTGAGTATGAGGTTCTTCCTAAGTTCTTCACTGTAAGGAACACCGTCCACAAGTGTAACAAATGCATAGATACCCTGTCCTTTGAGCTGCAGTAGTAATGGTAGTTGATTCAAATACAAACAGCAATCACTTGGTAATGTTATACAGAAAACTGTAAATTTCTTTCATACACACAAAAACACACTAGATGACTCACACATGGAGAGAATATTATACAGTCATACCTCATGCTCCACACCAACCACAGCAGCCTCTGCGCATTGAGGATGTGAAACTAAAGCTGATTCCACTTCAGCTGTGCCAATACGATGCCCACTGCATAGAACAAGATTATATCAGACTTAAACATCAAATAGAACTGCATGGATGGTACATCATGTCTATTCATGTTTACATGCTTGTACCTATAAACAAAGAAATTGCAAGACTGAGGAATCATCAAAAAGAGCTTTTGAAATTCAAAGAACGATACCTGACATTGATGACATCGTCAACTCTTCCAGTAAGCCAATGGTATCCATCTTTATCCCTGAAATAAAGTTAAATGAACAGTAGAACATAATTATCCAACATATTTTTGCATGTTCTGGTGTTTCCGGTGTTTGAAATACGACTACATAAATAGAATTCACAGAGACTAAACTCAAATTCAAAGATAGTATGCAAGAATCCTGGAAATTGGCAAATTATGAGCATCCAACGTTAGTAAATCACTAACCTGCTGCAGCCATCACCACTGAAATAGTAGCCAGCAAATGGCTTGAAATATGCTGTTTCATATCTTTCATGATCACCATACAGAGTTCTGAATGCCCCGGGCCATGATCCCTTAATGCACAAATAACCACTGCACTCACCTTCTATTTCAACACCTTTCTCATCCACAATGACAGGCTACAGTAACAAAATTTGTCAGAGATGAAGGCAAAGTGAAATAGTAGCAAAGAGGTAAAACAAATTTGTTAAATTATTAAATGAACAAATAAGGTTTACATAAAAGACCTGAACTCCAAAGAAAGGGAAAGTCGCAGAACCAGGCTTCTGGGGCCAAGCACCTGGTAGTGGAGTTATCTGCAAGCAACAATGAAGGATGTTAGTCTCAAAGACAGAAATGCACAGATTTGATGTTTCTATGTGTGTGTGCGACAAGAGATTGAACTTAAGACTACTATACAAAACCCATCTCTCAATTACCACTTGAGCTGGCCACATGTGGTAAGCAATGGATTATTTGTCAGTTTTCACTAATGGAATGAAGCTATATTACATGTTCAGTGACTGCCATTATAATCAAATTTACCACAGATAATCATAGGAAGTTAAAATACCATGATGCCAGCAGTTTCTGTTTGCCACCAACTGTCAGAGATAGGGCACCTTGAATCTCCAACTACATTGTAAAACCACCTGAAAGAGATAGATCAAATAATGCATCATAATGTTATTTGATATAGGAAATTAAGTTATAACTAGCTAGGAAAAATACAGAAAATAACCTCCATGCACTTGGATTTATGGGCTCGCCTACACTTCCCAGGACTCTTAAGGATTTCCTTGAGTAGCGAGTAACATGCTGCGCAAATTACAATGTTTCGAATGAACAATAATTAAATTAAGAATATGAAAATCTAGACTCTTGCATCAGACAGAGTTCCTTGTTCTATCATTATGTCTGATATTCTGATTGGAGCTTTATACAAAATGTCAATATAAAAAGCACAGGTTATATTCCTACTATAAGAGATGCAAATATATCAATTTTATATGAGGATGCATCCAAGCTTCATACAAAATACATAGAATAAATTATCTGGATAATTAAAAATGACGACAGTGGATTTCAAACAACTATATAAAATATTCTATGCATGCATTTATTAACAATGGAATAAATGAGAGAGAGTAATAAAAGAGATTCTTGACCAAGAATAATGAATTCTTCGAAGTTACATATCTATACAGAAACACAAATGGGAAAGGGAGAATATGACATCGAAGTTTGTTTGCCAGCATTATATAGGTCAAGTGGAACAGGAGGGGCAAGAAAGGCTTTAAGGACTGTAAAATCAAGCTAATGAATCTAACCACCGCTCTATAAAATAAGATACACTATAAACATCATTGTTATCAATAAAAGGCTACCCTAAGGAGATGGTAATAAAGATGTAGATGTAGCCCAAAAATGACCAACTGAACAACTTCGAAGGTCTTTTCACCCTTTCCCTCTTTTCTGTCTTATGCAATTTAAAATGGCAGGGCTGTGCTTTCAAATGCAAATACATAAATTAATGAGGTAACATCTCTCCGGCATCTCTGCTTCACCCTTTCAGGATAAAGGAAATTGCTCAACCTTCGATATGAAGATAAGAACTCTACAAAACCTTGTCAACTCCTTTATAGGAAGACATATGCATCAACATAGGACCTAATTTTAATGCATGAAAATGAGTTTATGGTCGAAAATTGATGGAACAAAAAACTACATATCTTATGCTATATTGTCTGCAAATGAAAAGGAAATGAATTATTAAAACAACAATGACACATATGGAAGCAGACCCTCATACGCTAAAATACAATAATAGTCACGTCTTTGAGAATTGCAACAATATTAAGTTTCTCCAACCTTCAAATTGACACTCATTTGTGACACCACACGAAGGCCAAAAGAGATGAGATGTTCTGAGGGGTGTGTGCGTATGCAGAAGCATTTATTCACAATCGCAAATTATTTTTCACACAGGTATACTGTAAACATTTGACCAGGGGTATCTTACCTCATCACCTTCACGCATGAGGGACCGCACCAATGTGGGGGCAGTGTAGAATAGTGTCACTTTATATTTGTCAACAATGTCCCAACAACGACCTGCATTAGGATAATTGGGAGCCTGCATTTATGTTGTTATCATATCAGATTTAAAGTGGAGTATTTCTTTGCAATAATTCCTTGACTCTCGTAATTTTCTATCTATGAACTCAAAATTCCAAATTAAGACAATGATGTTGGTGCAAATTACTAGACTTTTATTTATAAATCCGGTAATTATACTTCTTTATAGAATATGTTGTGGGGACAAATTTTTGTGTACCTCCAAAGCTCAGCTTGAGGGAATCACAACAGTTCCTTGAAAGGGTAAAGTAAATCACTTTAAAGGGTATTTTAGCAGTTCAATTTCACTGGGAAGAGTGTAATTAGTCACTTAAAATCCTTTTTTCTTTATTGATCTATTAGAAGGGGGATTCAACCTATGACCTCTACCCAAATCCCATCCTACCCTTACAATTTGAGGTAAACACAAGTGGCTAGTTAATGAATATCCATTTCTTTTTGGATGTTCAGTAGACAGTAACTATTCTGTTTTCTGAGAGCTCAAAAATTAATGTCATTTTTCACAGCCCTCTATATTAATTGGTATAACACTTTTGTTTAGAAGTCTTAACCAACGAAAAGAAACAACCAAAACCTTTTCCCCACTGGGTAGGGACGGCTACACAAATCAAACAATGTCCTTTTTAACAGTTTTACTAAGAGTTCTTCTTGGTCTTCCTCTGCCTCTAATAAGCTAACTTCCATATGATCAACTTTTCTTATTGGGCCTTCCATTGGTCTTCTTCTCACATGACAAAACAAGTTTTTTGAATTCTTAAATTCTAATAACATGTCTCTTGAATTCATTTTCTCTATCTCCATCACGCATACAAATGATTACACTATGTTTCAAGACCTAAATTCATTACCCCTTCAAACACAACATTAGTTGCACCATTGAGCATGGGTCCATAAGTGACATAGCTGTGCCCAGTAATCCAACCACAATCAGCAGTACAACTGTAGTCAGGGAATAAAGGAGTTAGATAAGAGTAATGATCAAGTTTTCATCAAGAAGATCTCAAAGATAAAAAGAAAAGAAGATAAACTTTCACACATACAAATAGATGTCGGACGGCTTGTAGTCAAATGCATACTTGAATGTTGTTGCGGTGTACACCATGTAACCACCAGTTGTATGGAGGACACCCTTTCAGAAACATATATTTAGAAAGCAGCAACCACAAGTAAAGAAAAGAAGAAAAAGGAAACTTAAACTCAAATACAAATACCTTAGGTTTTCCTGTACTCCCACTAGTATAGAGTAGAAAAAGTGGATCCTCTGCATCAACCCACTCCACTGGACAAGTAGTTGGATATTGGGGAATTACATCCTGCAAAACCAGTGAAAAAAGTAGGGAAAAGGGGAAAAGGGTGTGAACTTTTATCATAATTATAGAAGCAATATCCATGAACATTCAAAATATATTTGATACCCTTAAACAGAAATTCAAGATGCATTGCAAACCATATTATCTAAAACAAATTAATCTGTTTGAAATAACCGTAGAAATTTAGACTAGTACAATTATGTGACGTACTATTTCTTAGGCATGGCACGTAGGCATTTTGCAGAAGTACAGAAGACAAAACTCATGTTACTACTAGTACAGTTAGCTGACCACGCAAGAGTATATATGCAAAGGGGTGATTTATATACTAACCTGCCACCACATGTCTCGCCCTTTCTTCCATTTGGTATCTACCCTCTTCATTGCTGTTGGGTTTTCATAAACTAGGCATACATCTGTTTAGACAGATAAAATTGCAGGAAAAAAGAATAAGTTAAAGTAGATAATGAAGAGAACATAACATATTTGAATGAAATTGGTTGTAGCATAAGCATCAGCAAAAACATTATAGGTAATTCTATTGCTCAGTCTATTTGGGAATGTCTGTCACATAGTGAAATTAAGTCAAATGGATTGGGCAACAACCATCCAATGCAGAAGGTAAATAACATCCCAGACTACTCTGTAGCAGTCAATATCAACTTAAGTGAAGTCAGTTTGTAATAGTGATAATAAAAGGAATTACAAATTGTGTATACTGTTTTCTAAAGTGCTAGGTTTTTGTCATGTGACATTCTCGAAAAAATCAAGCAAACAATCAATCAAACTTACACATGTTGAGGAAAGCCCAGTCCAAAAATCCAGGCTGTTAAGAGGGGAGAGCCTCTACTTTCAAAATAGTTATGTATCTCACGCCCATTTGTTATGGGACTCACCCTATGTCAAATACTTAATATCTCACTAAATAAAAGAAAAATGCAAGAGACATGAATAAAAACAACACCTAGAAGGCTATGAAGTTCACTGACAAACTATTTTCTGTCAAAAGGAAGTAGTTATTTCATTCAAGAATGTGTTTGATCTATCTTCACACTAGTAAGCTCAAGTTTTGTCACTTATCGTGAGCTATGAAGTGGTGTAAGATATTGTCTCTCTCTCTCTCTCTCTCTCTCTGTGTGTATGCACACACTCATGTTTTAATTCTAATAAGTGAAACAGAACTACACAATATTTATTGAAGAGATCACGTCACTGAAACTAAAAACAAATCAATGATATGCCCACCTATAGGGACCCCATTTTGGGCTGAATCATTGATGGCAGCATCAACTATGTCTTTAAGATAGATAACCTTAGAGCCCCTTTTACCAGCATTGCAAGTAATTACAACTTTTGGTTTAAAATCAATGATTCTCTGGGCAAGAGAATCTGCAGAAAAACCGGCAAATACAACCTAAACAAATCAAAAAGCTAACAGTATTAACTCAAAAGGCTCGTGAAACATATCAAGTAAACTGATAGTTTTGAAAACATGACTGAACTAGAAAATGGTGGACAAGGGCATAAAAAAAAGTTTGCGTGATACCGAATGAACAGCACCAATGCGGGCACAGGCAAGCATTGTGATGGGAAGCTCCATAATCATGGGCAAATAAATAAGTACAGCATCTCCCTTCTTCACACCAATATCTTTCAGGTAATTTGCGACCTAAAACACACACACACACAAAAATCAATCATTCTGCCAGTTTCCATTAGTGTTTTCGCATACAAAAAGCAAACATTCAAGCATCCAAACTTGAGACATTTCAGACATCCTCTTTGTGTGAGAAAGAGACAGAAAGAAGGGGAAGTTCGAACTAACTTGACAAACTTGATGAAGAAGCTGAGTGTATGTTAAATTAGCATCAAAACCAGGCTCATTGCCTTCCCAGTAAATGGCAATTTTGTCACCAAGTCCAGCTTCAACATTTTTATCCAAGCAATTATAACAGATGTTGGTGATGCCACCCTTGAACCACTGAAGCAATGCAACAAATGAACACAGACACAGAAGGTACATCCACTCAGCCTTTGAACAAACACTACAAGAAGGAAAATACAAAAAAGATATCCAAATGGGATAATGGAAACAAATATATTACCTCAATCTTGATACTGCCTTTCCTTACATCAAAATTTTCATTACAGACTTTATCACCCCATTTCTGTTTCCAATAGAACTCTGAGGCAATATCAGACCAGAATCCAGCAGGGTCCTCAATCGATCTCTTATACATCTCCAGATACTGATAGATCAAAAATCACAGACACACACACAAACATACAGACACAAAATTAAAAAAAAAAAAAAAAAAAAAATTGTAAAAAAGATGAAACCCAGAATTAAAAAAACAATTTTTTTCCCTCTTCAATAGTAATTTAGTCAAATTCCAATGAAACCCAGAAAACATTTATGAATGAGGAGACTCTGAAACCTGTTCTGGGGACTGAACATTCGCTTGGCTAGCGAATTCCTCGCTTGGAAGGACAAAAACATCCTCTTCAGTGGCGAGAGATTCACCAAGTATCACAGCGTTCAAGTGGGAAATGTGACCAGCACCAGATGGAAGAAGCTTCATAGATTCCACATGGCGTAGGTAATTGTTGGTTCTGCGATTGGAATCCATAGAATCTCTCTTCCAATTAGTGATGCTGTTACAGTTCCACAACAGAGAGACACAAGAACAGTGCTTCTTCACAGGAAAGATGGGATCCAAAACAACTGGTGAGAGAGGTTCACATGCACCACCTCTCACAATAAAAAAGACCGGGAGCATCTGCCATATTTGTCAAACTAGAATATAAATATACAAATTTTATTTTTATGGATATTGAATATAAAAAAAAGTTTACAACTCTTATAATTAATTTAAATTTTTGTTAATCTGAGAGTTTTAATTTATTGAAATTTAATAACATTTATTATGTCACGTTTATTAATTTTTAATAAATTATAACCGTTAAATTAATGAAAACTAACGGTGATTAAATTAGTTGTAAACTTTTTTTGTGATGAATGAATCACCTCTTTATGAAAAAAATAAAATAAAAGCGTGGAAGAGCCACAAAGGAAAAAGAATAAATTATAAATAGTAAAATGATAACGATCACAATCCCAGCCGCCTTAATAAAATGTACAAATCTTTAATGCATGTAACCAATTTAATATATATATTTTTTTTTTCTTATATTTAGAAACAAAATTATCACTTTTGAAATTTTTTTCCGCTATATAAAAAAGTTTTTCTTTTAAAAAAAAATATATCCAATTGGTACATGCACCAAAAAGTTATTGCAATAAAACAGGATAACTTTTTTTTTCAGAGTCCACTTAGATAGGCAAATTGATTTTCTCTCTCTTAAATTTAATATTTTTTGGTATTATAAAATGTTTTCACCCAACCATGACTCATGAGAGTCAGTGTGGGGAAAGAAAGAGAAAGAGAAAGAGGGTTATTCAATCCTAATTTTATTTTCTTGAGTTTCAAAGGAACAAGGTAATCTGTTCTTAGTTTATGTTTTAGTCAAAAACCTTTTGATTTAATAACAAAAATGATAATAAGCCACTATGATTGATCTAGCAATTAGTAATGATAGGTTTGAGTAATTTGTATTAGATTATATATTTAATTCTTTGTTATAATTCCTAATAGTCAGAGTCTGCAATGAGATTGCGTAGGTAATCTGCTAGATGAAGAAATCAGAAAAATGGGTAGTTTGATCTGTGATGGAAAATCGTTGCAAGGATTCAAGTGAAAATAGTTTAAAAGATGATGATGAAGAGTGCCAAATAAAAATATTGATTTAGAGCATAGTGCATAGCAACTGATAGAACAAAAAGATTTAGTATATAAAGAATGAGAGACAACGTTGAGAACACGCGGTTGACTTTTGAAAAACATGCTTTGTTACAAAAAAACAAAAGAAAAAAACAAAACAAAACAAAAAGATAATGTTGCTTTTGTACCGGAACCTTCGGGCTTGTTTAATAGTGTTTCCGTTTTTTTTTTTTTTTTAAACTATTTTGTAGAGTTGTTTATAAGAACTGGTTTTCAGAAGAAGAAAATTTGTCTGTTTAAAAAGAGTTTTAAAAATTAAAGCATTTGTTTGAAAAATTTATTTTAAAAGTTTTTAAAATAAAAAAATGAAATTCAACCCACTGGTATTTTTTTCTTGTTAATTTTTTTAATGATTTGTTTAATTATATATAGAAATTTAAGATTATTTTAGTTGAACAGCTTTTTGAGATTTAAATAAGGGGAAATGATCTCTGCAGTTATGGCAAAAATTATTTCTCTTCCTTAAATACAAATATTTGAAAAAGAGAAACCAACATTTGTGTATGAAGCAGAAAAATGATTTCTGCCACAACTGTAGAAATCATTTACCCTTTAATAAAGAGTAAAACTAATCTTATGTTGCATAGAATAGTATATTTAATGTTGTGAAACAAAATTAAAGTGGATCCCACTAAAAAAGAAAAAAGAAAAAAAATTTAGATGAGACCCACCTTGATTTTATTTCATCACATAAGACACATTCTCTTATGCAAAATAAAATTAGTTTTACCCTTAAATAAATTGTATTATAGCGTTTGATGATTTAACAGATTATGTTAAAGGGAATGATCCATTTTCAAAATTTTTTTACAAATTACACTAAGTATGATCGATCATATATTCTTAATTGAAGTATGACTGATCATACTTAGTGTAGTTTATAAACAAAAAGTATATAAATATAATATTTCTTTTATTTTAGTTGTATTATTTAAATCTGATTAAAAAATCCCTCTGTCATGGCTTTATAGTATGTTCATCTTTCAAGAAACCTCATTGGTTAAAAAAATGATTTTTTATATAAAAATAAGGGAACTATTAGTTTCATGTTGTAGGAGATTAATATCTCATGTTATAGACATAGAGTATATGGAATCTACTCTTTTAAAATAATTAAATAAATGAAGGGCTTTGTTTTTCTCCTTTGAAAGGAGAAGTAAAATTTTGTAGCTGATACAAATTTTGAATGGACTCCATCATATTTAAATAAATAAAAAATAAGAAAACTAAACACGCAAAACAATGTCTCACTAATTGGATAATAGCATTCTCCAGCAACAGGAGAAACTATTCTCCCATAAATGAACGTACCCCACATATTTTGTGTCTATGATATGAAATACTAGTCTTCTACAATATAAGATTAATATTTTCCAAAAAATAATCACAAATATATTCCACTAAACAAACCAAGTTCACACATTTTTATTTAGCTTTATTAGTAATTATTCAAATAACTTCTTTCACAACAGAAAAATAAAATAAAAAGTTATAATAACAAACAAATCATGCTAAAATGCATCCTCATTCCTCAATAAGCCTATCAAGGTCCCCTACCAAGTGATACTGGAATATTTAAAATAAAAGAACATGTGTAAAGAGGAACAACATAGCAATAAGGCAAGTAATGCAACATGTGTAAAAGAACATGTCTAGGATCGTGGCATAGTAGGTCGTTGTGACCAGCACCAAAAAAAAAAAAAAAAATGGGGCGACAATGAAGGTGATGAAAAAAGAAATGCTCTTCTTGCAGTGCAATATGGAGATTTGAGGAGATGGAGAATGGTTTATATTGTTTTGGGTTAACATGATGTATTGAAAAATAAGAATTCGTCCATATTTACAACTTTGCCAATAATGAGAACAAATGGTTCTGAGTGTTTTTCATTTTGAGAACAAAGAATTGAAAACAGAACAAGATCATCTCTAAGGTGTTTCCTAACATCTATTTTAAAAACCAAAAACCAGATACTATTTTTAGAACAATTTTCACAAAGCACTCTATAACAAACAAGTTTTTTTGTTTAATTATTTTTAAAATTAAAAAACCATTTTCAGAAACAGCAATGAAACAGGCCATTCATTTCCGGCAATTGCTGGCTATACCTGTCACTTCGAAAAAACTGAAACCTTTTGAAAGCTGAAAGGAGATAGAGACTTACTTTAAATTTGAATCGGATCAAAACTGAATTCCCACAAAGAATTCGAGAAATGTTGCAAGTTTTGGGATTGACGTTTCAAATGATTGGATTAAATAGGTGTCTTATTGATAACATAGTGACTTTGATGACATCTACTCATTTGTGTATACTATAGATGATGTGTTGGTGTTGCTGTTTTTGATTGGGTTGGGGTAGCACCTTGCCGGCTGTTTAGCTTGTCTGGTTTTGACTTTGTACCATGTCTTTTGTTACATAAGCATAGGGTCATCTCCAGTTTGTTTTTTGCTTTGGATATTTCAGCTTTTGCATGATAAGATAGTGGTAAATTGTGCTTTGACTTCTATGACACAAAGTTAAATTCAGTAACATTTTTACTGAATCATCAACATTAAACTTGTTAGAAATTCTGATTAATAACCATGTGGGAATAACGGATTGCATGTAAAAGAATAGCTGGTAAAATTTGATATAATTGGTGATACTCTTTCAATGATTTTATATTATATCTCTCTAAATATTTCCTTGACAAGAGAGCTTCACTAGAAAATGTGTCGATGATGATTGAATTTGTAATCACATTAGCATTAATACCAATGTTAGAAACAGCCACCAGTGAGTTTTGCTACATCAACCATGCAGTTTGACACTACATCTGAAGTGCACCGTGTTATAAAATAAGAGGGTAAAATAGTAGTTTTCTTTTTTCTTAAAAATCAACAATCCTATGTAAGCGTTTCATCAATGATTACGTTCATTCATTCAAGAACATGAAAGATGATCTTTAGAATTCATGAGTTTCACATATATATACCTTTGTCCATAAGTGCAGAATATCTTTTCAGTAGAATCTTTTCTCGGAACCTTAACCCTTCACTGTTCTTGTATCTTCTGTGATAGAGATTGGATACGACTTTCATAGGCAGACCCAGATGGACGTTAGTTTTCTGTCAGACTTCAATTATCAGAAAAACTGACCATTAACCTTTTATAACTGCACCTATCAACAGTTATGCTTCAAATAACTTCTCTTAACCATTAATTACCATTATGCCATTTTATTAATTAAATCAAATGACACTTAATATTATATATCAGACAAATAGTTTTACACCCTGACCCTATTGATTCTTCGATAGAGTCCATATACCCACCCCTTTCCTCTTCATTTCTTCTTCCTTTCCTTGTCTTGATTTTCTGTTCTTTGCATTTGCTTGCTCTTCCATTTCACTTCAAGCATTATTTTGAAGCTCACGGGGGTGACCTTTGGAGTTGAAGAAGGTGCTCTAAGAACAAAGGGGTTGCAACCCATTTCTTGAAAATTGGTTTTTTGAGCTCTTTGAATTAAACCCATCATTCCAAAATTTGAGAAAATCTATACTTTTGCATAGGTTTATTTAGGGTAGTTGTATTCTTGAGCTTTGAGACTAAATTTAGGATTTTATCTATCTCCTTATTATCCATTATTATTTTTCTCTTAAATAATTTCTAAGTAATTGTTAACAGTATACAACTGATAACGATCACATTCCCATAAGCCTCAATAAAAGAGTATAAAATCAATTTTTTTTTTTAGAGTCCAATTAGATAAGAAAATTGATTTTATATCTCTTAAATTTAATATTGTTTGGTCAGATTTTCATTATAAAATGTTTTCACCCAATAAAAAAGGTTTTTTTTTTAATTGCTGAGTTGCTGCCATGAGGGTGAGGGTGGGGAAAGAAAGAGAAAGAGGGTGATTCAATCCT